TTTTTTTTTTTTTTTTTTTTTTTTTTGTGTAGCATCTTGTCTATCGTTTTTGTAAATACTGGAGAAGCTTTGACCAATTTGACTTAGAGATGGAATGTAACTTTGCTTACAAAAATTGCTATTAAACTCCTGCTTAAGGTGTTCTAATTTTCTGTGAGCACACTAAAAGCGAAAAATAAATGTGAATAAAATGTATAATTTGGTTGTCTTTCTTTTATGGATACTCTGGTAGCTTAAAGGGACTAGCCAGTATTGCCTAAATTTGTACAGAGAAAGTCATGTGTGCTGTTAGCACTAGCTTTGAAAACTACCTTCCTGGATCTTGGACTCTGTAATACTGTGCATTTTACAGAGAAGCTGTGCAGTGCACCAGGTAATTTGTAGGCTTTTCTGGCTTTAAAAAGAAGACTGGAAGGCAGTCTGAGCATGTACAGTGTATGATTCTCCTGGCCAGGCTCCATCTTGCTTTTAAGACCAGAGGTATCCAGCATATGAGGGTGTTGCCTCTTGAGGAAAATAAGATTTAATTTGAATTGCTTAGAGTGGGGCACTGAAATTTTTATGCTGAGTTGCTTAAAAATTAAGCTCTTGAACAGGTGTCCCACTTAGGTCTTGGTATGCTGGTCCTACTTTGGTACCTAGATGATGAGCTTGAAAACTTTAGCCTGGAAGGAGAAGAGGGAAACTAACACAACCATTCTACTTAAAGTAATTAAAAAGCAATATTTTCTTTTTTTCCTCAAGTGCTACTCTCAAGTACAGGTGAGTTTCAAAACAGATTTCAAAAATTGTCAAAATTACTTGGTGCTTGCCTTTAATTGTTGGGCTTTTTGGCTAATTTCCAGCATATTGCTCAGGGCATATTATGCCTTAATAAAACTGAGTTGATGTAAGAAAAGCAGCAGTGGTGTTTGGAGGGTGGAAATTGATTCAAGAAAGTGTTGCTTCTAAGTTTATAGGAGAAAGTTTAGTGTTACACTTATTTGCTTCCACCATTTTCAGCAGAAATTCTTTGGAAGCAATTATGATTCATTTTATGAGAAAATGGCACGTTAGCACCTTGTTCCCTAAAGAACAAAGCCTAAACTGAATGAAGTATAGTAGATTTCCTGCTGAATGCATACTTCTTTTTGTTTTGTTTGGGGTTTTTTTCATTTTTTGGTTTTTGTTTTTTTTAATTCAGCTGTCTACCATTTTAACTTTGGCTTGTATGTACTCTAGTTGCCCTGGTATTTCTCTATAACTTTAGAAATGTATTGAAACTATGCTATAATTGCTGAGGGACAAAAATAAATGGATGTAAAACAAGATCCTCCACACCAGTGTCATTCTTGGAGTACATGTGTTTAAAGTCTAGTGCATAACTGCTTTGCTAAGGGGTTTTTATAACATGGCTGTAAAAACCTGTTCTGAGACGCATAATGTCTTGGCCATAGAGTCAATGTCTCTTTTTAATAAATATATATATATTTAAATCCAAGGATTCTTAAAGAGAAGTCTGAATTTCTTCTTCTTCTTTTTTTTTTTTTTTTTTTTTTTTTTTTTTTTTTTTTTTTTTTTTGTTTGTCAAACTGTATATGTACATATGAAGAAAATAATTGCTAGTAAAATTCTTTTTCAGATTTTTCTTAACCTTTCAAACTTTAATGTTTTTTCCCCTCGCTCAGTTGGTGGTTTGTGAAGCACTTCCTATTCCTGGGAGTGCAGAATTGCTCCTACCCCTGGCAGYCGGACTTTTGGCTTGGGGCTTTGTCATTCTGTGGCTTGGCTTGACTTGAAATATATTTCCAAGTCCTAGCACTAGTAGAGTTTCAAAAGTGCATCTTCAGAACACCAGTTGCATGGTYTGCTCTTCTGGTCCCAGTGGTTGGGTGAGATTTGATGATGCCAGTTTTCCACTGTGTGGTTTGAGGAGACAGAAGTCAGAAAGGACTTGGAATCATGGAAATGGAGGAATTTTGAACTGCTGCCTCCTGCCAGAGAATTGTGCAGAAGCATCTTCCTCCCTGGGTCCCCAAGGGACTGACTAGTAATTTCTGTGGAATTGTGGAATATCCTTTTTTTTTTGTATGAGGAAAATGAAGATACTGGATGTTAGTGACTGATCAGGTGGTTCATCTTCTTACTGAGAACACTTTTTTTTTTTAAATTTATTTTTTTTTATTCCATTGGTTGCCTCAATGAAAATGCTAATTATAATAAGTGTTGTAATTTCAACAAATTCTCTCGGAACACATGTGAATTTGAGAGATGTGATTTCAAACCAATTTTCCTATATCACGGTTCTTTTTTTAGCAGAATGTTATTATTGCTATGAACAAGGTAACTTCGGTTGTGCTGAAACAATGTCATACTTTTAGGTAAAATTTACACTGGAACCTAATTTTGCCTAACTAGGGCTTCTAGAGATTAACTTCTTTTGTTTGTTCACTTGAACTGAGGCAACAGTTTTCCTTGTTCAAGAATATAACTTGGTTGTACAAAAGTGCTTTGAAATCTCATGCCTATCTTGGTAATATCGAAGCGTCATTTCAGACTTTCCGAATCACAAGGTCTGACCTCAAGTACTTGAGTTTTGTGTCTGGTCCTGATACTTATTAATATGAAACTGCAGAGACTTTGCCTTCAGGCCAGGAAGCAAGACAAGAAAAGGGAAAGGCGAGTTGGGTGAGGGAAGTGGATCCAAGGCTTCGGCTTCTGCTGGGGTGCGTCACCTTCTTGCTTGTATCCACAATCCCTGGATACAAATCAAGTCACCTTGTATCAGTTTCTGACATATCTAAAACCCGTTGGTTGTATTAGATGCAAGTGTTGCATATGTATTTTACTTCTTTGTTRTGATGTTGTCGATGTTTTAATAATATTTTTTTGTTCTACAGTACTGTTTGAAACAGCTAACTCTTGAACTTCACTTTCAGATGATTAGATAAAGGTCAAAGGTTTTCATCTGTTGTGATTGTTTGGGTTTTTCTAAGTTGCAAGCCCTTTAATATTGCCTTTTAAAAAAATCTAGAATAATACACATTCTAGTCTGAAACTGTGATGCTGGTTAATAGTTTCCTGCAAAATTAGTCCTGTGAATTTGGCCTTTATATTTTATAGTGAAAGAGTAGTGAAAGGTCATCACTGGTGATACTGGACTTGTTTYAGTGTTTGTTTTGAGAGACTGAGATGAACTGTGTTTTCCATAATGATATAGCTTGGTTGAAAGCAACCTGATTGTAGTTTACTTTTACCATGCTCAGATCACCGAGATAGGATAAAGCAGGTACTTTTTTCCCTGGAGTAAGGAGCAAGTGAAAATGGTGTATTGTTTATAACATGGTATAGACAGTGGGATTAATTTGTTCTCCTTACGAATCTGAGATCCTCAGAGAGCTGTCAGTGAGTGGGAACTCTTGGCATTGCAATGAGTCTGGCAGGGCAGAGGCGAGCAGGCAGGCAGCTCCTGTCACTTGAATAAGGGAATGTAAGGGGTGGTGCTGCAAAGAAGTGCAGGGTTATTGAAAGCCGGTGTGTTGGCTTGCCCTGGTGAGGTGGTGAGCTTTTAAGGCCTTGTTGCTTGTTTGAGGATTGAGAAAGGGAAGATGTAGCAGCATGTTTCATGATGAGTTTACTGAGACAACTGTTGAGATTGCTCTGAAGTGGAAACATTGCCTATTGGGAAGATCAGAGGAGGGTTGGTGAGGAGATCAAAGTGGCAATTATGCCTAAAGAGAAGAGTGACCAAAGTATTGTCCTGTGAATGAAGTATAGAGTTAGAARTACGTGCATTTGGGCTGTTGTGTACACTTTCTGTGCAAAAGCAGTARACTCGGATGCAGAATGCCTCTTTTTTAGGATATCAATAGTGTTATCTGATGGAGGTGACATTAAGCTTCAGTTAATGTTTTTAGAATGTTTTGAAGTCTGAAGGAGGGTTACAAGTATTATTTACACATCTTTGCCCTTGGTCTTTGCTGCAGGAAGGCATGTTTATCCAAAACAGGATTATCAAGATACTAGGTAAAATGAGACATTAATATTTGCAGTTAGAAAGAGTCAAACAAGATATATGGAATATTAGTTCTCAAAGATAAGATTAACTTAGATAAAATAGCAAAGACATTATTCAATTAAAGGAGGAGAGGTTCTGTCTTCTTGT